ACATCACCACAGAAGGGATTCCTGGAGGCCATGCAAACCTCTGCTCCTTGCTCAATATCCCCTGGCCAGGCAGACACATTTTCTCTGGTCACTCCATTTGGGTCGAGGCACTTGCTCAGACCTTTGTTTTTTTTTTTGCTCGGGAGGATTGAGCTGCACCCTTCCTCCAGAGGGGAGCACAGAGGCATTTTGCAGGCTGAGCTTTCCACACAGGCTCAGACTTGGAGAAAGGAGAAACAGCAGCAGCTCTGGGGATACACCAGATTTTAAAAAAAAACTCAGAAAAACACAAGTGTGGTGAATTCCAGACCAAGGACTCTGCACAGGGGTTGGATTGGGATCGTGTGGGTCCCGCCTGTGCACGCCCTTCACGGCTCTGCAGCCAGGGGAGGCAGGAGGAGGCTGAGGCAGGAGGAGGCTGCCGGCACCTGAAGCTCTGGCTGGGAGCACGCAGTGACCTCCTCTCCTGCTGGTTGCTCAAAACTCAGGTATGAAACGCTCGGCTGGAGCGTTTGGGGTGCGAGGTCTCCGCGGGTTTCCCACCAGCCCTGGAGGAGCAGCCCGGGCAGATCTCCCTGTGCCCCTCCAGGCCTCTCACCGCCCTCAGAAAGGGAGTCCCTCCTCTTTGGTACAACCTTGGCTAAATGGACGTGACACAAACTGTGCACATTGGTTCAGTCTAAGCTTAGTATTTGTGAATTAAGTTATCTGACGCTTCGCATGAAAAACTTCAAAAAGGGGATTGGGGGGGGGTGGTGGATTTTAACTGAGAAAAAGCCTATGAAAATATACTGGAAATATGGTAAAAATCGACATTCTGCTGTATATTGACAGAATTATTTTTATTAAAATACACATCCATGTGCAAGAGCCGGTGTGGAGCCGTGTGATTTGTCAGGCTGAGCTCGGAGCTGGCTGCTCGTGTCCCCTCTGACAGGGGATGGGCAATGTTGGACCAGCAGCCTGGTGTGAGTGTCTGGTGTGGAAGAATCAGGAAAAATTCAGGCAGCAACTTATGGCAATGAGTCTTTATTATAAATATTTGCTCCAGTGGCACAGCCTGGCTGGGCAGGGACAGCAGGAGGAGCTTGGTTGGTTGGTTGGCTGGTCCGTGATGCTGTGACAGCTGATCCTGCCAGGGTAGGGGCTGCCTCCAGCTGCAGTGATGGTGCCACTGCCACAGCAGCCTCTGGGGAAGTGCTGTGAGCACCATCAGCACCCAGCAGAGACAGGAGGGCTGGATGGGCGAGTGGGATGGTGGATGGATGGAGTTCATCTTTCCTTTTGACACGTTTCTATGGCTCTCTTCACCCAGCGCTTCTTGGGGTCAGCACAGATCAAGGCACCGCTGGCAGCCACGATCCTGCGAGGAGAAGGTGAGGAAAAAGGAGTGAAAATGTGAACTGTGAGCCATTCCCTTCCCATTCTTCCCTCCCTTTGTGCAGCCCCATCCTGGATGGAGGCTTGGAACCATCTCCAGCAGCCCATGCCCTCCTTGTGTCTGAGTCTTCCCAGACCACAGGCTTAAGCAGAAAACACTAAAACCTATTTTTCTCTCCTTTGCCCACCCCACTGAGCTACTTTCCTGCCACAGCCCCCTCCAGGCACATGCCCCTGGCTGGGACCGAGCCATCTGCAGGGTGGGATGGGATGGGGGAGCTGCTCTGTGTGGGGTGGGAGGCAATCCCTGGGGTACTCACACAACTGCAGGCTTAGGGCATTCCGTGGGGGTCTCGTAGTAACTCTGCACGTGTCGGACGGGCTTCTGTGCGTACTCGAAGCAGCATTCGATGGGTCTGACATGGGCTGGGAAGGGAAGGGAGGAATGTTTTAATTTGGCAGCATTTTGCAACTAATTGCATCGCCAGACAGAGACACGGCAGGATGTGGAGCTGTGGAGCTTCTCAGCAGCTCCTGCAGGATCCCACAGCAGGGATTTGCATCCCTTCGTGGCAGCAAGCACAGGAGTGGGATGTGGGATGTGGTGGGGAGGGGAACAGCACAGGACCCGGCACCCCACAGCCCCTATTGCTGCAGCCACCACGGTAAGGTCGGGCTGCTCGCTCTGGGGGTGAGTTTTTGGGGGGTTTTCCAAGGCAGGGGCACAACTTGCAGGGTTGAACGTGCTCTCCAGCCCTCCAACCACTTGTTCATCCAGCTGAGCCCTGGGGGAACGGCTGCCAGAGTCTCCTGCAGCATCTCCCCAGGGCTGGCTGCAGTGAAACCACCCCACACCTTCTCCATCCATCCCTGCATCCTTGATGTCCTGCCCTGCCCTGCCCAGGGGGTTGCTGCTCCCACCAGCAGCGCCATTCCCACTCCCTGCTGGGCTTTCCTGCCCGACATCCCCAGTGGGGACTCCGAGCCCGGCCCTGCAGCAGCGGCCCAGGAGGTGCCTCACCTGTGGCGTGGTGCAGGGAGAAGGTGAGGAGCAGGGTGAGCAGCAGGACCGTCCTTGCAGTGGCCATGGTGGCTGTGTGAGGGTTGTTCCTCCGTCCTCTGTGCCGCCCTGCCCGGTGTCGGTGGCCTCGGCTCCCGCTGCGCCGTAATTTATCCTCCCCATCCCGCCCACTCGGGCCGCTCTTCCACAAATTTCAGACGTGTTCTAAGAAGCCCCTTCCCAGTGATAAGGGGGGGGGGGATTTCTGTCGTTTATTTTTGGGACACGTCCAGCGGCGAGTGGAAAAGGTGGAGGAGGAGGAGGGCGGCTGCTTCTGCTTTCTGCGGAAGAGCCGTGACGCTGTGAGGGGCTTCCAGGAGGCTGGGGGGGAACCGAAATTTCCTCAGGAAAAGCAGATTAAACCATATTCCCATGGAGGCAGAGAGCAGCAGTTGCAGTGCTCATCTGTTTCATTTCTGACAGGAGAGACAACCCGGAGTCTGAGCAGGAACGAGTCACAGGCGGGTTGAGTCGGTTTGGCCACATTTTGAAAGGCAAGTGACCGATGAGTCCCCTCCACACCGGCCTCCCCAACCACCCTGGCCACACAGAGGGTGTTGGGTTCATCAGTGAAGTGCTCTGGGATGGGATGTCACGCAGAAAAGCACCCCAGAGCAGGAGATGGCAGAGATGCTTTTGGTGGGTTCAGGAGAATTTATCAAAAGGGGGGGAAAAAAATGGGGCAGTGGCAGTGGGGGTGTCTGAGGAGACTCTGGGCCTGCATGAGCAGAGCACGTGAGCAGTGGGATCGAAATGAGAGAGGGTCAGAGGGATGCAGGCCAGGCCATTTCTGCAGGCAGATGGGGCAAACCCTACTGCAGCCCCAGGAGAGTCATCCCAGACCCCAGAGAGGACCCCATGGGCAGGAGGGGCGGGTGGCACAGACCCTGACAGCAGCACCACCAGCACAGGGATCTGCTCCCTGGGAGGGCAGGGGGCAGTTGTGGTCTGGGTGTGTGAGGAGGGGGTGAGGAAAAGGCTGGGAACCCCCCTGGGATGGTGGTGAGGGGGAGCACAGGAGGTGACCCGGCTGTGGCATGGGAATGAGGCAAGCCAGGGCTTCCCAGAGGAGAATAAAGGTGGAAATGGAACTTCCTTGAAGATTGTCTCATGTTTGCACGACTTCTCTGTAAGAAGAAAGGAGAAGAAAACAAATCAAATGTGCTGAAAAAAATTCTGATTTAGAAGAAATTGTCCCCAGGGCACGGGGTCAGGGTGGCCTGGCAGGGGTCAGGGTGGCCATGCAGAGGGCTGGGCACAACAGCACCACTGGCTTCTAGAGCTACTTTCCCCAGGAAAGGGCTCTCCAGAGAGAAAACAGCTGGCACACAGCAGCTCCTCAGTCCTCTTCTGTGGGCTCTGCAATCCCCCAGGATTCTCCTGCCCTCCTTTTTGCAGCTGCTGCCACAACCCTGATGTACAGACCCCCGAGCCCAGCAGGCATCGGGGCCACACCACCACAGAGGGGTTCCCTCTCTGTCCCTGTCCCAGCAGTGAACCTTTGGGTTTGGCTTTAGTCTCCTCCAGGCTCTCTTCAAACCTGCAGTGCCCAGAGTGTTCCCAGCAACCTCCCTGGCCATTCCCCCTGGAGGCACAGCCCCTTCTCCAGGTGCTCCTGGTTAGGAAAATGTAAAGGCAAGCAGCCCTCTGTGTGGAGAGGAGAGGGGAGGGGAGGGGACAAGCTGTGCACAGGATCTTATGGGTGTCCAAACCACCTGCAACCTCACTGATAACTAATAAATGAACACAAATTTTTTGACCGAGGAAAAAACCTACTTTAGAAATTAAAATGGGTGGGCACAGACGAAAAAAGACCCCAGAGCAATGTAGAGGTGGGGAAATATTCTCTGACTCACACAACCTTTTGGGGTTTGAGTGGGGTAATCATGAAAGTTAAGAGCTTAACTGGGTACATGTGCATGTGATAAATGCAAGTGTCAGGAGATAAATGCCACAGCTGTCAGGAGAGGGCACCAAGTCCAAGCAAACAGGGTGACTCCACGGGCTGAAAGCTCAGGAAGGGGAAAGGCAGCAGTTTAAGAGGCTTTCTCAGGCTGAAGCATCTGTGGCTGCACTCACAGATCTCCACCTGCCCCTTGGTGCCCATGAGACCTCCAGTTTCCAGACCAGCAGAGTGCCAGGGGCAACCTCCCTGAGGGTGGGAAAGGGTGAATGAGTCCCTTATTTTCCTTTATTTATTAAACTGTCTTTATCTCAACCCCTGACTCTCCTCACCCCAAAACCCTGGCAGGGATCACTGCTGAGCTCCCAGGGGGTGAATCCCTTGTCTGCTTCAGCATCCCCCAACCAGGGAAGACCTGCAGAGAAACCTTTCCTCTCCAGCACAGCCCAGAGACACCACAGCCCTGGGGCAGATGTGGCAGCCAGGCCGTGCTCCTGCTCAGGGCAGCACAAGGGACAAGCTCAAACCTCCAAGCCCCCAAACCGATGTTTGCACCTAAAAGCCCTCAGATGAGTCTCCAGCAGCACAGCTGTGGGGCTGGGAGAAGAAAGGACACCACTCTCCAATCTCACATGAAGTAAACTTTATTTTGTGGCTGTGATCAGCAGGCAGGTGTGCTGGCATGGCCAGCAGCATTCCAGGGGCTGGTGCCCAGCTGGTGGACACGGCTCAGGGCTCTGGGGAGTCAGTGCCCCCCCTCTCCATCAGCTGGAACCTCCACATTCCCTTCCAGCAGGGTGGTTCCAGACCTTCCTTCCCGCCAGGATGTTGGATAGCCTGAACCAGGGCACCCACTCTACATCACGGGGCACGAAGTCCTTTCCTCTTTTGAAGCTTCCCAACTGCTCTCTGCACCCAGGGCTCCTCTGGGTTTGCACAGATCTTGGTCCCGTTCTTGGTCTTAAACCTGCCGAGGTTGAGGGTGAAGCTTTGTGAGAAACGACGGCTGTAATCCCGCTCACTCCCTCCCCTGAGCTTTCCCCACTCCCTTTGGCCCTGCACTCTGTACTTGCTGTCCCACAATCAGCTCATGCTGCAGCCCAGCACCTGCAGAGCCTCCAAGAGCTGCAGTGGACTCGTGTCATTAACTCTGCCCTGTAGAAGAGCCCAGACAGTCCTGCCCTCCCCTCTTCGTGCTGGAAAACCACTGAGGCTACACAGACCTGGCCCTGTGCTGTCCCCAGATGAACTGAACCTGTGGTGGCCTAGGAGGCAGCCCAGCAGTGGGGAAATGCCCAGGACTTACACAATTGCTGGTAAAAAACACTCCCTGGAGGTTGAGTAGAAATCCTTCAGGTGTGCCAGCCGGAGAGCAGCTTTTACGTACTGGAAGCAGCACTCGGATGGAGAGTAAGGGGCTGCAGGAGACAAAAAGAGGCTGTGAACATTGGCTGTGGAGGGCAGTTTGTCCCCAGGACCCTCCCCTGTGACAAGGCTGATGGACACAGCATCCCCCAAACTCTGCAAATGCTGCCACAGGTGCCCTCCTCCTTCATCCCCTGGGTGAGAGGGGAGGATGCTCCAGGTGATCATCCAGCACCAAAAGCCCTGCAGCATCTCTGCCAAAACCACCCAGCTCCCTCCAGGAGCAGTTTCCTTCCTTCCCTGCCCCCCTGGGATGTGCAGGGGGTTGCTCCCCCTGCCAGCAGCACCATCCCTGCTCCACACCGGGGTTTCTTGCCCGGCCACCCCGGTGGGATGACCCTGAGTCCCCACCAGAAGTGGTGGCCCATGAGGTGATCTACCTGCACTGGAGCGTGGGGAGAGGGTGAGGAGCACCACGAGCAGCAGGACTGTCCTTGCAGGGAACATGGTGGCTGTGGGAAGGCTCTTCTTCACCAGGTACTCCTCTGCCTCTTTGGAGGAGCTCAGCTCTGAGCTCAGGCAAGGAGCAGCTGCAATTTATCCTCTCCACCACTCCCCACATTAGCCCTTTTCCCAATGATCTGTAACGAATTCAAGGAAAAGGTCTACCCTTTCCTCATCCCTGGGGATTTCCATGTCACATGGGATCATCTGGGTTACGGTCTGAGACGATACCTGGAAAGCTCTGCCGACTTCTGAGTTCACCCAGACAGGGACAGCCATGAGGGAAGTGAAATCCCTGAGCTCCAGAGCTCCCAAGCTGTCAGAGAGGGGTTTCGTGGCAATAAGAAAGACAAAGCTCAGTGTTCCATGCAAAGTCTCTTTCTGGCCCCAGAGCCAACACAAATGTGCTGGGGATGGCCTCCCAAGCCATGGAGGCTGCCCCCCACTGCTCTGGATGGGGAGAACCTCGTGAAGCTTCTGCAGAGCTGTGCTTGCTCTTCTGGCAGAAGATCTGGCCTAGGATGCTCTGCTTCCCCTTTTCTCGGGTTTTTCTCGTGTTTGTGAAAGCCAAATGATTCACAGCTCCCTGGAGAGCTTTAGATGTTTCTTCTTTTGGAAAGGGCAAGACTGATGTTGCAGACATGTGTGATTAGCTGCCGAGTGCTGGAAAGCCCCCACTGCGGGCCCAAGTTTCCCTTTCGTTTGAATGGACTCTGAACAATTCGCTTGTTTACATAAAAAATAAACAGCATCCTTTTTGTCCTGCAAGAGGAGGAGGAGCAGGAGGAGGAGGGAAGCTGAGGGGACAGCTCAGGTGCAGCCTTTCCCAGCAGTGATGCCAGCGAGGGGAAGAAGGAACTGGGCACAACAAGCCCCACGCTGGGAAATGGGGTCCCAGCGGGTGACTGAGCACACCCAGCCCTGCTGGAAAACACAACCACACAACCATCGTGCACTCTCGCACTGCAAGAGCAGGAAAGGTGGCTGAGCATCACCTGGGGCATCACCCAATGCCTGAAACTGCCCCCCAGGAGGCAGCTGGAGGGGTTTTAAGTTTTCTCTGTCTTCTTCCGTTCTTACCCAGTGTACTTCGAGTCTTTTCCATTTACAAAGTGGAAGCTCCCACCACCACGGCCAAGCAGAGGCAGAGGGGGATGCACCTGAGCCAGAAAGCAGCAGCGAACTCCACCTCGCTAAGGGAGATTAAAAAGAAGGAGCTGACGCCAATTTTCTCAAACGCTCTGCAAAGGAAACATTTTTCCATTTTTTTTTTTTTTTCCCAGTGAGGTTCATCAACTGCCTCGGGGTTAAAGTGAGGATGGGCCTGGGGGGTCAGGGCTGGAGAGGGGGGTTAACAGGGGAAATGATTCTCAGTGAGGACTCAGCCTCCTTTCTTCAGCCCTTTTTGAGCTCCTAGAGTTTAAGCCAGCAATAGAGAGATGCTTCAGCTTCAGCTTTTAAAGCAAAGTTGTGATAACAGAAAAAAAATAGGGCTGGAAGCAATTGCAGCCTAATTTTCAGTGATTTAAACCTGAACGGGGTTAGTCACAGGGATAGTCCTGATAATTTCACAGAGCCTGAGCACGGGGTGGGGGCAGAGCCAGGGGCTGGTCAGAGGCTCCATCAGCGGAGGTGCATCCCTCCTGCACCAAGTTCTGCACCTGAGGCAGCCCAGGGCCCTGCAGGAGAAGCTCGGGAAGGTGTGTGAAGGGACACCTCTGCAGTGTCACAGAGACACCAGCGAAGCCAGCGGGCGTGTGGCACCTCCAGGGCAGGGACCGGGCATCTCCCGAGGCTCCCGCGGTGCTGCGGAGCCTCAGCCCCGAATGGCCCCGCGCCGGCGCCTGCTCCGCCGTCGGAAATGATTCATCGCCGCCTCGTTTTGCACAGCCCCCTCCTTCCTCGTCCGCCCTCCCCCACAGAGGGGAAGAGAAAAGAGAACGTGGGGGAAAGTGCTTTTGTTTTCACAGAGTTTCGTATCCTACAAATGACCTTTGTGGCCCGGTGACTCATCGGCGGGGCTGCGACACGACCGGGACGGTGCGCGGGAGATGCTCGTCCCTGTCCCTCTTGCTCTCTTCAGCTCTCCACTCCGGGCAAGCCCCAGGGCACCAACTCTTCCATGGATTTGCCTTTCCCACCTCTCCTCCCCAGCACCAGAGAGGAGCACACAAGGGCAGCCCAAGCTCTGGATGGGGTGGGAGAGGTCGCAGCTCAGCCCTTGCTCTCTCTTGCCCTGTTACAGAACAGACTTGGAGGGTAATGTTTGTTGCCTGTTGGTTGCTGTTTGGCCACAGCTTTGATTGTTAAACAAAGCAAAAACCCCCGGCTTCGTTTGTTTTCTTTACTGCCTCAGAAGGATGGGAACCGCAAATCCCTGTGAGGAAATGCATTTCCCGTAAACTTTCGGCAAGAATGAAACCCTTAAAGAGCGAGGAGGTGGAACAGCAGCCTGGCCACAGCCATGTCTGCTGGCTTTGCTGTCTCTTGGTGATGGTGGAATGCCCTCCATGGGGCACAATCATATGTGAAGCAGCTGAGGGGATCCAGCTCCCATGGATATGCACGAGCCATCTAAGACCAGCACGAAAATAGACAAGGCACAGCCTTTTCCAGTGGTCCCAGAAAAATCTCAGCTCCCAGCAGCACAGGCAGGAGACATCACACGCATCCAAAAGGCTACAAAACTTTACTACAAAAATAACATTTCTAGTGCTTTATATAAAAATAATGCCAGGTACAGCGCGTCACAAATCCCGACTGCGCACAGGTGGGGGCTGTCAGTGCCACCTCTCCCCATCCACCCTCCAGGAAAATCCTTGCCAGCCACTGTTCCACAGCTGGGCTGCCCAGGGAAGGGTTTCACCCCAAAATGAAGTTCATCTCATTGCATCCCACACTTGCAAAAGCCCGGATGAATCCCTGGCTCCCCTCTCTCATGTCAACACAACGCAGAAAGCAGGGGTTGTAGGACGGCAGAAAACAAACACGGTTGCAGTCTGTCCTCTCCACCTGCAGGGCTAAATGGATGCTGTGATGGATTTAACAGGTTGCCTCCCTCAGGCTGTGCTTTACAGCTGGCCCCTCACTTTTGCTTTGATGATCTTGCTCGTTATGTGCTTTTGCTTCCTTTTTTCCTACATGCAAATTCATACTTTGGGATCTGATCCACCGAGGTTGGTTAGAGCAGGATCTGACCCTTGATATGTATCTACTCACAAAGCATCATATCATGGAGACCTTTGCACACTCCAGCAGAACTCATACTGGGCTCAAAGTTTAATAAGGGCTTCCAGGAGCTGACCACAGATAAAACATAAAGCTCACATACAGCAGTGTCTGGATGTGTAAAAATCAAAATCAACTTGGGTTTTTAAAAAAGCCCGTTAGTGTTGTGATGCTTTCATAGCCTGGTGATCCATGCTATCCAAGATGGAAAAACTAGAATGCAGATGAAGAGTAGAACTACGAACAGGCATTTTGTTTGTGTTTTTTTCCTCCCCCCCCCCTTTTTTTTTATTTGTTTGTTTGTTTGGTGCATCAGCAAGTGGAGTAATTCCTACATGGCTAAATCCAGAATTGCCTTTAGCTCCTCCAAGAGCTAATTTCCTGGGGTTTTTTTTGCTTGCAGAGAACAGCAAAAGTGTCCCAACATTATCACAGGAACAGCAAAATTATTGGGTGACTTCTTGTTTTCTCCCATCTGCAAAGAGTCGTTCGCATTATCCTGCCCTGGTGTTGGATGCAGCTGGACATCAGGTGGCAGGAGGGTTTCACTGCACTGATTTGCCAAGAAGCAGGTCTCAGACCACATCTCCAAGAAGAAATGCTACTGAGAGGAAGGGCCTGATCTCTGCCAGACCGAAGCACAAAGAAGCAGCAGAGAGTTTAAAAGTGCAAATCGTGTGGGTTTGGTGCTAAAAGATTGCTCGAGTTGGCTGAGCCCAACAGTGTGGCTGAGGGAGTGGCTTCTTGGCTTAGCCACGGTGAACCACAGGAAAATTCCCAACAGCAATTTGGGAATCCACTCCTGCCCACCCCCTGGCAAAGAGCAGCCACAGCTTTTGTGTGTAACAGTGCCAGAAGGAAAGAAGTGTCCCAACGATTTCCAAAACACTGTCATTGCTCAGCGACAAAACAGATGCATTGCTGGACATTTTGCTCTGCGAGAATCCTGGTTTCCTCTGGTATTTTTATTCCCTGGTTTGCTTCCTACCCGTGGTCACCTGTTCAGCATGAACAGCGTTTCTGCAATAACACACACGTGGTTCAGGCCAAAAACGCCCAGGCCATGAAGCGCTCAGATGACTTCCATTGGATAGGCGTTGTTTTGGTGCCCTGCCCTCTGGTAGAGCAAGCCCTGTACCATTTCTCTCGACGAGTCTTCTGGTCTGATTCCAAACTTCAGGTAGAGCCACACCAGAGCGACGCTGCAGATCGTCACCGCGCTCACCACGGACACGGGGATGACAAACTGTGTTTGAGAGAAGAAGCTGGACAGGGGCTGATGGTTTGGCCTGTCTGTGATCGTCCGCGCCCTGGCTTGGCCTGAGAATGCCTGGTCAGCAAAAACTGCTGTATCAGAAGGCTCTTGCTCTGCTGCAGGTGAGGAATAATCAGATGTTCTGGTACCAGACCCATCTGCAGAGGAACCAACAACCCTGTGGCTGTGGACAGAAGCCCCTTTGTCTGTGGCAATGGTGGAGTTCAGAGTAGAAACTGAACTAGTGCCTGGTGGAATTGGTATGTCTGGGGGTGTTGTAATGCCCACGCTGTCCAGGATGGAGGGGAGATCGGATCTGGAAGTGCTGGAAGCGGTGTCTGGTGCATTGGGCCTGGCACTTGTAGATTCATCTGTCAGAGGTTTATCTGATCCTTTAGTAGTTGCCACCGGGTCTGAATCTGAGTTAGGAGAAGTTGTGTCTTGAGCATCAGCCATGGCATTTGCAGTTTGTCCTGCACGTTCCTCTGCAGCTCTGATGGTGCTGTAAAAGCCACGCACGAGAGCTGTGGGATGTGGGGTGGGCTGGCTGGAGTCCACACCTGCTGCAACAGTTGCTGAAGGTGCAGGAGAATTTGAGGAGTCTCTGCTTGCTTCTGGAGTGACCTCAGAGTGCGCAGCATATCCCTGAGTCACGGGGGGTGATCCTGCAGGGAGCTGGGTGCTGTCCTGCCTGCCTGGTGGGGACTCGCTGGCCACCTCTGTCCTTGCAGCAGGAGAGTGTGTTCCCTCCCAGACTGCTGTGCCAGTCCCTTGGAAGAAACCAGCTGGAGCAGTGGCTGGAGATGGAGCCCTCACTGGAGGACCAACCTGTTTCTGAACATCACCGGGCTCTTCTGGTGAGGTGGCACCACGAGCAAGAGGGGAGGCCGTGGCCTTCTTCTGGTCCAGTTTCTCTACAATCTTCTTCACCCACTCAGCCTTCGGATCTGCACAAAACTCCTTAGACTTCAGAGTAGTTAATCTGCAAAATGAAAAGGCATCACTTAGGGGTTACAGGAGATGTTGGTTTAGGTGATCAGGGCCCTGGGGAAGGTGTGCAGACAGATGCAAACAACAACAGTGACCCTTCCCAGCCCATAGTAAACACCACTGGTGGGCTGGATGATTTATTTCTGGAAGGGCAGGTGCCTCTGAAATCTGACTGAATGAAGAGCAGCTGAATGTGACTCATGGGTGAAGGGTTTTCCCCTAGGAAGCTTTTTCATTTTCAAAAGCATTGTCCTGATGCTTGGACGTGGTGTTTTCCTCCTGCACTCAGGACAAGAAGCTCTGAAGGCACCAGCTGCTCAGGGGCAAGCAAGCATGAAGGCAAACCCTCTGAGGTTTGGCTGACTGGGTGATGTGAGACTTTTCCAAGGTCAGCCCAGCAGGTTCACTTTGGAGCCACCCCCTGGGCTGCAATAAAGTGGTGTCAATGGTGCCTCAACTTCAGGGTAAGATGGAAACAACAATTATCCCAGGGGGAAAAAAACCTGAACTTTTCTCAATTCCAGACAAACTCCAAAAGTCTGAATCTGTCTCCAGAGAAAATATCTGCTTTCACAGAAACCCAGGAGCTCTCTCCCTGAGTGCTTCCACCACCCTGTCGTGCCAAGTACCTCCCTCAGCCCCTTTCCCCATCCGCTCAGCCCCGATCCCACTTGGAAGCTGCTGATCTTTAAACAGGGGGGAAGAAAACATAACACCACCCTTCAAACAAACACACCAGTGTTTGCTCTATGTTCCAGGCTGTCCCTTGCTCCAGACCAAGGCAGGGCCCCTCGTGGGGCAGCACTTACATGATGGCTTTTTTCGGGCATCTGGGCTCGGTCCAGCGGTAGTTCTTTATCCTCTTCTCTGCTATCTCGGGTGTAAAGATAGAGCACTCCTTGGAACACTTCAGGGGTGCTTTGGGTTGCCCTGAAATAAAGTTTGCAGCTTATTAAATGTTGGCTTTCCGTTAGGGACCGCAAAAACTGGCACCGCTTCTTTTCTCTGGGGCGGAGGAGTCCAAATCCCTGGAATTTTCCAATCCCTGCTAAACCGAGATGGAGACAAATCCAAGGTTGGTTGTAACACCTGTAGATGTGACGAAATACCCAGAAAACCGAAGGGGAAAAAGGCACTATGAAAATTGTGGGACTTCTTGTCTTGTAGGATGTGCAAAAGCGTAAAAATAAAACTCCATTTCAAGGGGCAGAGCCAGTCACACCACGGGGGACCCTTCACGCCTGCATCGACCTCCAGCCTCCCACAACAGGCCCTTGCCAAGTGAAGGAAGGCTGCACAGTGCATCCTGCCAACTTGGTCCTGACAGCCCTGGGGGCAAGACTTAAAAAAAAAAAACAAGCCCTGACTTATCTGAGGCCCCTGCGAAGAAAGGAGCTGGCATCTGGTTTCAATCAGGCTGTCTCCACAAAACTCAGCTTTCCAAAGGAGTTGGGTGAATGTTAGGCAGCTCAGTTGGGAATGATCCAGACACTGGGTGCAAGAATGAGCGACGCTGTGGCAGCACCCTCAGCTCTTTCAATCTATTTACTGGGGAATGCCATGGTTGCAAAGAAATCCCAAGCAAACGCTCCAGTGGCCCCTGTACAAAAGCCTGGTTTGGTTTCTAGGTGCCTGTAAAGTTAAAGCAAAGCTCTTTGTTCCCACACCGATGTTTTCTGTGGCACTTCAGGGTCAAGAATTCCCTGCTCACGGCAACCAACTTCCCAAAGAACTCCCATCAGCCAGAGGACGTTCTGCTGGGGTCCTCCCCTTGCAGGAACACAGTTCAGCAAAGCAAGCCCGGTGACAACAGGACCAGACCGTCCCTGTGGGTCACTGGGGATGGGCCTGCTCCTCTGATAACCCTGAACTGATTTTCCAGTTGTTGGCACCGATGCAAACTGTCTGCGATTAGCTAAACTGCTGGTGGGTTTTTTCCCAGAGCAGAGGAGCTTGGAAAGCACCTTCCAAGGACAGGGAGGTGCCACAAGGGAGCACCGGGCGAAGTCCAGCCTTGCCCGCAGTGCTGAGAGCCCGGCACCCACCCTGCCGAGCTGCAGCGATCTCTGCCCTGAGCCACGGGCGGCTGACACCGAGCCCAGCCCCGGCAGAGGGGACCTCGCCACCTCCCGGTCCTGTGACCCCGCTCAGCACCACCCCGGAGCACGCCAGGATCTTCATCCAGTGAGCAGGATGACGTCTCCCACCTGTACACAAACACGCACACCCACCGCAGGTGACAGCCCCCCCTTTGCCTCGCAGGGGTGGCAGCACCGGCACCCTCAGGACCTGTGTGCACAGACACCCTGCAGTGTCCCCGCCACGTCCCTAGGGGACACGAGGAAAAAGGGAAAAGAAGGGCATGATGCTTTTTTTTCCTGATACGGATTATCAGGAGTCTCCCTGGCACTCTCCCCACCGGCCCGCAGGAGTGGCCAAAGCCACCAGGGATGTCCCCGCTGCCAGGATTGATGCCATAGGCTTTCCCCATACCTACCCCTTCCCAAACCCAGCCCGATCCTGCCGGGAGATCTCCTGCAGCCCATAACGATCCCCGGGCATCCATACCCTGATCCAGTGCCACCTTCCCGCGGCCCCATCACCATCCCCATCCCTCTCTGATCCCAGCTGTTCCCGGGGAGGGGACAAGCGGAGCTGGGGCTCACCTCCAGCCAGGGTGACCAGGCACAAGGCCCTCAGCACGAGCAGGATCTGGATGGACACAGCCTTCATGTTCCCGTGGTCGGCAGGAGGAAGGGCACGCAGAGAA